CAACAGGACCAGGTTTCAGAGCCCACACCCTGTGGAATTCAAGGCAGAGCACAGAGTGGGAGCAGGAGGAGACGTGTCCATGCCCTTCCCTGGCTGTTCCTGGAGCATTAATCCCCTGTGACTGTGCATTGCACGAGGCTCTTCCCACTCCAGGCTAGTGAAGGCTTCCCAGAGAGCACAGCGCTGTTGGGAAGGGAATAAAAACCATTCTTTTGAACTTTTTTTTTTTTCCCTGGTATTTCTTAGCTCGATGGGTGATGAGCAGAAAAGTTCTGAAGGAATAAATGCATTGAACCTAACTGAAGCTTTGCAGGGAAGGAGGGGTGTGTAGCCAGGCTTTTATATACACATGATGTGAGGTAAAATAACTGTCTTGGCTTGTTAAATTTTCGTGGTGTAGGAAAATGTTCCTTCTTTTGGAAGAAAGTGGCTCAAGTCACTCATAATTTCTGCAACTGAACTGGGAATAGAAATAACTTATTTGGAGTCCCAGTTCCTGTGAATTTCCTTCATGTGGCTCCTACAGATGTGTCCAGCTGTGTAAATGTGCATAATGGGACAGGCCAGCAATTCCTCCCAGCCCAGCCCACAATCACTTAGGCTGTGCAGCCTGCCATTAAATGCATTTTGCCTTGTAAGAAAAAAAAAAAAAGGAAGAAAAATATGGTTAATAGCTTTAAAATCTCCTTTCAGTTTAAAATTTAAACCATGTTTTTCATCCACTGAGTTCCACAGACTAAACACAAAACCGTGTGAGGTTTTCAGCTTCAACATTGCAAAGTGTTTGCAAGGCAAGTGAATGTGAAAAAGTTGACTCCACTTAAGCACTTGCTGGGAAAACCAGTGTGGTCTGTGCTCTGATTGCTGTGCTTTGAGCTTCCTGAAAAACCTCTGCTCCTGTTTGACATTTTGCACAGGGCTCTTTTTCCTTTCTCAGTGAAATTTGGTTCAATTTACGCTGAGGTGTTGAACTCTCAGAGCAGCCACCTCTCAGCTCCAGAATTTTTCCCTGCTTGCCTTTGCAGCAGGAATGAACAGGCCTGGGTGCCAACAGGGAGCCACTCCCGGGGGTCAGGAGCAAGCTCTGGGAGCAAGGCTTGTTTTGTTTGTTTGTTTGTTTTTTTAACTGCTCTGTAAAACACCTCAGAACATTCCCGGTGCTGTTACAATAATGAAGATAATGAGGCAATTTCCCCTGCTAGTGATAAAAACAAATCCTTCAGGTATTGGGAAAGATGGAGGGATTTATTACCCTTCACTGGGTATTCACTTGGCCTGTCAGGTAGTCAAGGAAGGGCCTTTTTCCATGTGTTTCCTACCTCCCACATTCCCGTGGCATCAGCAGAGCCCAGTGCATTGCTTCTCTCTCTCTCTACCCAGGTAACACCCCCTCCCTTTTTTTTTTTTTATTTTTTTTATTTTATTTTTATTAATGTCAGAAGACATTTTCAGCCCTGCAGGGGACAGGCAGCATTACTGTCTGGGCTCATGTCGAGTTATTAATTTAAGCCAAAATTTCAATTTCAGATAGCCTGGGGTGAGTCTCCTGCTCTGGCAGCCCCTCATCATTCCAGCCTGTCCCCAGGAATAACCTTTGCCTGCCTCATTACCTCCTTGCATGTGTAATAGCACCAGGTACAGGGGATTACAATAAGCACGGGGGGAAAAAAATGGGGCATGGTTGTCTAGGATATTTTATAATGGATTCCTCACCTGTTTAGGAAAAATGACAGGCACGTGGAACTTCTTCTTCGAGGAGTGTCGAGGGGGAGGATGCACTTTTTAAAGGGCAGCATCCATTTTTGGTACCCATCTGTAATCTCTTTGAACTGTGGTGCAGGGGCTTTAATGAGGCTGCTGTTTGCAAAGAGCTTCTCCCAGTGTTATTACCAGGCAGAGAGTATTAAAAAAGAAAAGTAATTAGCGGAGGACAAAACGCAAGGAGGGAAAATCGCAGCAGCTTTCCCCGAGTCAAGTTTTAATTGAATCTCCACGAAGCACAACTGTGAAGTTCTTTCCCCATAAACTCTCAATGCAGAGGTTTCACCACTGCAACAACCCCAGAAATTAGTTTGATCATAGCAGATCCTTTCAGGAACGACTGTTGTTCCTCGGAAAGTTTGTAAATCGAGCCAAAGCTGAAGGTGCTGCTTCTTCCCTGAAATGTTCGTGTTCTGGGTGTTTCCAGGAGCCCAGGATCTCTGTTGCTTGTTTCCTGCTCAGCCCCAGTTCCCTGGATGTGACAGGAGATCATGATAATGAGCAGTAAATAATTGTTAGCCCTGGGCAAGTGGGAGCAGCAAACCCAAATGCTCCCAGGTAATGAGAGGGAAAATAGCTCTGTCTGTACGTGAAATGGGGGGGAGGAAACGGAGGGTCCCACTTTCCGAAGTGTCGTTTGTCCCCCCCACAAAGGGGATGGCACTTTCACTGCATTCCGAACTAAAGGAGCTGCAAAGGCTGATTTTTGCACTGCTTTGGAGCTGACTGTGGGTGCTGAGCTCAGCAGAGGCAGTCTGGTGGCACGGGGAGCAGTGGTTTGAGCGCTGCTGAGAACAGGGCTGTGCTTGTGGGGATGGCAGAGGCGCTCCCGGCCCTGCTGCTCCCCCTGGGTTGCTGGAAAGACTTGAATAATCAAACGGGTCATTTCTGCTCAATTGCTGTAATTTATTGTCCCACTGAATCCAGATTTTCTGGATGTTAATGAAAAAAAATACCTGTGACACCAGCTCATGCCATTCTGCTTTATGACCTTATTAAATCTTACACCTTCTTATCATGTGGTGACAATTACTGGCGGACAGGACAGGGCTCCTTCCCTCACCAGCCCTGCCGTGAACACTCCGCTGTCACCGGGGCAGGCTGGATGATTTAGACCAAATGAACAGTCCTGAGAGGTATTTTAACACCCCTGACAGGATTATATAACAAGAGAAAGGCCATTAACAAATACAAAGGGATAAGCAGGAGGGAGAAGGCAGGTGACGAATGGCGACGTAAATCTTTAGATCTGTCACTTGGTAATAAAATAACCTTCACGGGGAGATTTAATGAGCTGGTTATCCCACTGAAAGGGAGGGAAATACTGACATCCCGCGTGTCCCAGGGGGTTTTTGGCACAGGACTCACCTGGAGGGGTGTGGGGGGTCAGTCTGATTTTTTACACCCCTCCACAAAGTTGCTGTTACTTTTTATTTTTCCCCACCGTGAGAATTTCTCAGCTCTCACCCCTGATTTCAGCAGCTGCTCTTCAGCTGCCCCTCTCCCTAATTCTGCAGCAGAATTGCCCTCTAGCAGGTGTGATGAGGAGCTGAGAGCCCTCATGCACAGCCAAGTCTGGGCTCCTGCTGATGATTCAAAACAAAGCTCTTGGAATATTTCTCATATAAGGAACTGAACTCTTTAAAGCCGATTTTGAACTCTGGAGGCATTTTTTTTAAGAGTTTGTGATTTATTTGCATGTTCTTTCTAACAAAGCTTTCTGCAGGACTTCAGGCTCTGACTGTGATTTAAGGTTTGACTCTGTGAGTGGGTGCTGTTATTTAGTGTGGGGGGAAAAAGGAGCAAAGAAACAAAGCAAAATAAGGGAAAATAGCCTTGAAGCTGTGATAAGTACTGGAATAAAATACATACAATCCAAACAATATCTCAGAAGAGGAAAAAAAAAATGCAAAAAAGCGCAAACTCCCTCAGCAGAGCAGATTGGGATTGATTCAGTTTGGTTTAAATTAGTCTGGGGTGTTTGCAACCAGGAGTTCTTCTCCAGTGTTGCCTCCTGTCACAACAGAAGGGTTACAGGATTTGAGTCAGCAACCAAATGGCCCTAAAACACAACAAAAAAATAAACACATGCAGGGAGGGGAGCTTTTCCTCTCCTCCTTTTCTCTGTCACCAACCAGAGCCACACGTTCTGTACCAGCTCCAGCTGTGGGGGACACACAGACCCCTCTGCTACAGGGATGATGTAACTTTGCAATTTCACTGAGCTTCATGATGCTGCAACAATTCAGTTGTTGTGTGAATTCTGGGGGCTGAGCAGCATCTTTCTGCTTTGCTGTTCAAGGTCTCATTTAAGAGGTGTCAGTTCAATTATTATTGGTAACGTTTTTCTACTTTCCACGTGAGTGATACTTGGTTAAATGCAGCCTTTCAGAACTGTCTGAAAATTGAATCCTCTTTACATAATAATTTCTGATACTCTTAGCAACAGGTGAGGCTCGGTCCTGCCTTTGTGTTGAAAATATTATCTTGGGTTTTTTTGTGGGTTTTTTTTTTGTGTGTGTTCAGAAGGGCTGAAGTAGCCCAGCCCAGCCCCCTGGCAGCAGCTTCTTCTTCTGGCAGGAGAATTTCTGAGTGGCTGTTCCTTAAATCACAGCGCTGTAAAACTCTTTACAATGACAGACGTTATTTCCCTGCAAACATTAATTAATCAGGAATAATTTTGCAATGAATGTCAAAGGCAGTTCTTGTGACAGTGCTGGTTGTTGCAAAGGGTGCCCATTACAGTATCTGGTGTTTGGGGATCTTGGGTGAGAGCAACTTCAATGCAGGTCATGAAGTGTTTGAAGGGATATCTTGATTTATAACGCTTGTTGTGGCACCTCTGCTCTGTAGGGACTAATAATTCATTTTGTTACATATCCCACTTAAGGTGAGTGCCCTGCCCAGGTGTGGGGTGGTACATATGTTCAGACAAGTAAATAAATAGCTGCAGTGGAATGCCTTAAATCAGACTTCAGGGTAGAGGTAATTGGTTGCAGTCCAGACTAGCACGGGAGCAGGATGATATTCCTGGCCTGTTTCCATGTTCTCAGTCAAGGCTAAACTTCACTTCTGGTCCTATTCCTGTACATTTTGATTTATTTTTTTTTCTGGAAAAAGGGTGTCCAGTGCAGGGTTTTCCAGCATAAACCCCCATAAACCCAGCAGTGCCTCCCAGAGTGCTCAGATCAGACCCCCCCCCCCTTGCTTTCCCCCAGGAATGAACGTGCTCCAAGATGTCAGTAAAAGACTCTTTATTCATAAATAACTGATATGCAGGAGCTCCCACCTGTACATCTCTCCCAAGGGCCGGGGCCGTACAGCTCTGCAAACCCCACAGAAAACCCCCAAACTGCCCAGGGTTCCTCTCTCAGTACAATATAACACAGCTGGCTGCCATTACCAAATATATCTATGTATATATATTTATATATGTACATGTGCTGAAAAAAAGAAGCCAGTGCAGCCTTTTTCCAAGGAGTCTTTCCCAAGTTATTTTACTGTACAACATTCAGAATTTACATTGATAGAACAAGGCACAGAAAAGTGTGGTATGAAGCCAAGGCCATGCTTTTGATCTCATGTTCTGTCTCTCTTCCCTACTCCTTCAGCTTCATACTAAAGAAAGCGTTCAAACCTCTGCTCTCCTTCATTTCTAAACACACTGGACCCGGGGGAGGGAAGGATGCTCAGTCAAATGAGCCCAGAACCAACGTTTTCAGAACCTCTTCATCGCAAAAATAAAGGAGCAGAAGAGAAAATAGGGTCTCTCTAGAGGAATACTTGTGGGTTTGTTTTTTTCTTTTTTTTTTTCCACTTTTTAAAAAATAATTTACGTTTTGCGTGATTAGGTTGAAGTTCCCCCCTCCTCTTTTCAACCAAAGGGCTGGTCAGAAGTTTTGGAAGCTGAATGAAATTTTTGTTGTTGTGGTGTGTTAGCTCTTGTTGTGTGTAACATTGTTCTGAGTCTGACCAGTCCAACTGTACTTCATCCAAATCAGCAGAAGGTGCAAAATTAACGTTTTTGGACCCAGGTGTCAACTGGAATCAGAGTCACAGTGGGAGGAGCTGGATTAAGAGGTGGGAGGAGGCAACTCCATCTCCCAGGTCACGAATTCTGTGATGTCAGGAGTGAATACATGAGGCATTTATTTGTGTGTGTGTATGCACTGCTCAGGGCTGCAGTCAGGGAACTCCCTGAGGATCAGGGATGGGGGCTGGGTTTTAGTGGAAAGGATGCAAAAAAAATCTACAGCTTCACCTAAAAATATTCCTCCCTCCCCTTCCACCTTCAGTGCCCAAACGGGGGGAAATCCGAAGGAATCGGCTGAAAAGGCACCACCACCACAGGGCTGATGCTCCAGGTTTCAGTGTGTGTGGGGAGTACCAGGGGTTTTCAGCTGCGAACCCAGAGCATCAGGCAGTTCCGTGGGAGGATCTGGGAGGGGAACATTCCCCTTTCCCCGTGGCAGATCCCCTGGCTGTGAGATCCGTGTCTCCACAAAAGCTCGAGCCAGGCTTGGGTGCAGAACGCCCCTGAAGTCCCCCTGGGTGCTACACGTTCCTTCTGGGGTTGGACAGCAGGATTTATGTACAGAGACCGGGTAACACAGGGGTTTGACACCTCCCCAGGCCCGCAGCAGGACACTTCTGGACCGGGGATTTCACAGCGGGGCGGACGGAGGGAGCGGCTGCTGAACACGAGCCCTGCGGGAGGGGAGGCTCTGGCTGGGCACAGCACCCAGCAGGGCCAGCCCACCAACCCCTGTCCCCTGTCCCCACAGCTCTCAGGTGGCTTCTCAGCTCCAGCTGCCCCACCCGGGCTCCCTTGTAAAGCACAAACCAGTCAAGACAACTCAACAGCTCAGTTAAAGCAGCTTTTGCAATAGCTTGAAAATTACAATACACCCCGACCCCCCCGAGCCCCAGACAAGAAACACTAGTAAGAATCTGTACTATTCACCTCTAATACAAAAAATATAGTGGCAAATTCCTAGACACTTATGTTATTTCTGGACAGAACAGTGGACACGGATACGGACAGGTTTTTCCTTTACTTGTGGCAATGAGCAGAACTCGGGTTCTGCCTCCTGCACTGTTACTACCAAACAATTCTCTAAGCGAGTCTTTAATCTTAGAGTGATTTACTTCTTTCTGTCTGTGTTGGAAAGGAGACTTTTTGCTACCATTTCTGCTGGTATTGGCGACGAGAGAGAAGGCATTACTAGAAAATGATTCATGGTGTTTGCCAGCATACTGAGTGTTGTTTGTGGCTACAGGTGTTGTGTGTTTGAAGTTACTGTGTTTGCTCAGGAATCCTTTAAGTCATTTTAACCAGGCCATTGTTATTTGTCCAGGAAAGGACACAGGTGCCATTTCACTGCTGCCCTGGAAAACCCTCCAGCCTCTGCTGAAACAAGGACAGTGTCGAGGGAGTAATTCCACCAAACCACGTCCCAGGAATGAAGAACCCCTAGAAAACCTCCCTCAGCAGGGTTAACATGGCAAAGGTCCTCGGGGAGTCATTCTCACCACCTCTGCTGCTGGGAAACAGGTGGAGAAATTCCTGGGGATCAGTGAAACCAGAGAAAGGCCAGAAAGACGACTCTTGAGATCATTCACAGTTGGTAAGGACTTGGAAATCTAATTTCCTGTTTTTTCCACTCAGTTAATTACCTTCCGAGAACTAATGCAGCCCCTTTGCTTAAATCTGTGTTCTACAGGCAGAAACAGCCTGGAGAAAAAAAAAAAAAAGATAGAACTCATGAGCAGAAGCCCAGCACAGTTCCTCCTCTGTTTGAGTTCTTTGTGTACACAAAGCTGGATTTTTTTGTGGTGGGAAATATGCTCTGGAACTGCTCAGCTGCTGAATGTGTTAAAACTCACAAGGGGAAAGAAAAGAAGGGCCTTGTGGTGTGATGTTAAACCCCTGGAGTCCTGCAGGATCCCTGTTTGGGTGATTTATGCTGAATAAGCTTCTCTGACCCTGCTGCAAAGCCAGAGAGGGGGAGACCAGCTGTTGCCAGAGATAAAAATAATAACAAACCCAGTTCCCCGTATCTTAAGAGAATTGTGTTGGTATCTTTTCATCTATTACAAAAAGGCCAATAAAATTTTTTGTGGGAGTTCAGGGTTGTACAGACTGTAAATGAGCTTTATGGTGCTGTGGCTGGCAGAGCTGGGACTGCACATTGTGCTGACACAACTGTAAGTCATTTTTAGAATGCAGCTATTAGTCTTAAATGACTCACAGCACAGAAGTACCTGGGCAGAGTGCTTAGGAAGATGAAAATATATTAGAGCAGATTCTTTGGTGATGTAAAATCAAAATGGCTGGTTCACCTGATCAGACTCAGGGCAGCCAGGCGGAATCTAATGTGTGTAAAATTACATTTCTCTCGCTTTCTAGCTGGTGAAAATTGTTTTTCAAATCTAATAATTTATAAACTAGAGAGAAGGAACACATTTTTAGGTTCTGGCCTCTAATCCTGCTTTTTTTGGGGTTGGTTTTTTTTTTTCCAGCCCACTCCGGCACTGGACATCCTGGGAACCTGCATTTTGGAGGACCCCAGCCCAGAGAGCTGCTGAGCAGGCAGAGCTGAGGAGCTGAGAACAATCTCCCTGCTGGAGAGAGAGAGGCTGGAGCTGGTTTCCCAGACAACAACAGCTCCCAAAACTCCGCCACTTTTCCCTGGGTGCCATTCCTTATTTTGGTTTTCCTTTTTTTTTTTTTCCTAATTCCCAGCGTTTTGTCCAATGAAGAACAGGTTTCTGAGGGGGAGGAGGACTGGCAGTCACTAGAAATATAATTCAAAACCCAGATAGAAGCATGTGCTGCTAAAAGCAGTGACAGCCTGCTGCCAAATCAGCCGGTGTTTGTGTCTCAGCCCCAAACCTGCTCGCAGCCACCCTGCAAACAGCAACCAGCCTGTCAGGCTCCATGAAATACTGAAGTGCAGAAAACGTTTGCAGAAGTCTCAGTATTTATAAGTCTCAGACTATTCCAAGCCTGCTGAGCTGGGAAGGCAATGACATTTTGCAGTTCCAGAGCAGCAGGAACGAGTCAAGAGTTGTTGTTCAGGCTTTCCAGACCTGGAATCCTGGGTAAAGATTGTTAGAGATTTGCTCTCTGGACCTGCCCTATTGTGCAGCTCAGGGCCAAATACAAGGGGGGGAAGAAAGCCCCAAAATGCCCGTTTTGAGTTTCTTTCATTTCCCTAAAGCTCCTGAAGCCTCCTTTCTGTTCCTGCTTTATCCTGAATGTGCTCCTGTGGCCCACACTGACCCAACGAGCACCTTGGCTAACTGGGAAGGATAGGGGTGAAAATAAGGGTTAAATTTGGCTCAGCACCAGTTCCACCAGGCCCCTCGCTCACAGTGACAGCTCTTTTTGGTTCGGTTGATGTAAGAAATTAGATTTGTATGAAATGGGTAAAAAATAAGGTGAATTCTCTAGCTGGGTTCTGATTGTGGTGGGAAATGCAATTTGTGGCTAAACCAAGTGTAACACAGCCAGCTCTGCATCCTGTGAAATTCCCAAGCCCACTTTTGGCAGTACCACGTGGGCCTTATTGTTTCAGTCTGAAACCAAAATTAAGCTCTGCTGATTGACTTCACCTTCACTTAGTTTAGCCCCAGAACATGAAGGAATAAAAAAAAATAAAAATATGTAAAGTTGCTAAAATAGGGCTTGAAATTTCCCATGTGTTATTTGGTTATTTAAATCTACCCCCAAGGAAACAGTTTTTGACTAAGTCGAAGTTTGCAAACCAAGAAAATTAGAAAACTCCTCTTGCTTGTGCAACACCCCAATTTCACAGAGAGGGGTTTTGTCCTCTAATTTTGGGAGCAGAGCAGGCAGGAAAGCTCTGCAGCAAATGTACATTCATGAAGGGATCGAATTTTTAAAAGAAATTGTCTGGAATGCACATGATATGGAATAATTACGGGAATCTTCTAATTCCTCAAGCATCTGAACAGGATAAGGCCAAACTGTCAGTTTTCCTGTAGCAGACATAAAGTGACAACGTGACGCTCTCGAACGGGATTTTAAACCACTCTTGAAGTGCCAAACCTTTAAACCAGGATTAACCTCCAGTGGCTCTAAATACCCAATATCTGTTGATTCTCACTAGGCATTATATCAGCGTTACTGTTCCTAAACATACACTGTCATGTAACATTTACCTTCCACGGCTCTGTGCCTCTCTCCTTCCTGCCCCAGGATTGCCAGATGTGTGGTTTTTGTTTTGGACTTTTTGACCAGGTGAGTTTTAAAACGAGGGAGGACAGGGTGGGGGAGAAGGTCGTGGTTTTCCTTATCACCAGATGGTTTTTTTTTTAGCAGGGCTGCTTCTGCTCCTCCCACCGAGAACCGCCCCGTGGGACGGGAGTTCCCATCCACAGGTGCCAGAATCCCTTCTCTCCTCCCTGCCCAGGGAACCTGCGGTGTCAGATCCCAGAGCTGGGCAGGGGGGGAAGGGACTAAAGCCCGTTCTGGCGGCTGTAGCTGAAGTCGGGCTCCTCCAGCTCAGTCTCTGTGATGTCGCAGATTTTGGAGTGCGTCCTCCCGATCTCCTCCAGGGCGCAGGCCAGCGAGTCCAGGTCCCCGTCGTGCTGGTGCCGCGCTTCCCACAGGTCCAGGATGACGGCGGAGGGGCTGCTCTGCGTGGCAAAGTAGGAGAGATTCCTGCAGGGAGGGAGGGAAGAGGTGAGGGGAAAGGATGAGGAGCAGCTGCCACGGATGTGGAGGTGCCCCCTGTGCTGTCCAAAATCCTCCAGCAGGAGCTGGGTGGGGTGAGCTGAGGAGCCCTGCAGGTGTCTCCTGCTCAGGTTTAGCAGAGGGAGAATAAAGGGACTGGAGTGTGCTGAGGCCCAGCCCCATGGAAATGAGAAAACAGGCCTGGAAAGCATCAGTTGGAAATTCAGCAAAGTAAGTAGCAAATTGGTTTTTAGGGCATCTTTGGGTTTTAATAATCATAATATTATTATTGCCCCCAACAGGAGAGCATGACTGTCTTTTTAAAATATGCCTTTTCCTTAAAACAAACAAACAAATCTGCAGTGTTCATTTTGGAATCCAAAACAAATTGGCAGAAGCCAGGACAATAGGCCATGGGATTCTTTTTTAATTTTTTTTTTTTTTTTTGAGAGAACACACAGCCCCTTAAGTACTTTAAACTTTTTCTTAGTAGACAACAGTGCCAAAATCCTCCTATGGTCTTGGACTTCACCAAGACCCCGCTGTTGTGTGCAAAGGTCCAGTCCAGAGCAAAGAACCGCCCTTCAGAGGGAGAAGCTCCTGTTCTCAGCAGCTGTTTGTTCATAAAAGCAGGTACTTGAGACCCTTAATGACTCCAAACACACCCTTTAATCCCAGTGAACAACCAACCAACACCCCCACCAGCCCATTATCCCCGTTCCCAGGCCAGTGCTTCCCTTTCCCTGTGCCTGCCATCACCTGTTGATGCTGTTTTTCTGTGCCAGCATCTGCCAGTCCTTGCCCTTGGCGCTGGGGGTGTCGAAGGTGGCGCAGATCCGCTGCCTGATGGAGAAGGGGATCTTGAAAGCCTTGGGGCCCACCTGGGCAGGGAAGTTGCTGTCGTCGTGTGCAAAAAAAGTGATGGTTTCTCTTTCGCTCTGCAGGGAAAGGGGAGAGCAAAGCGGTTGGGAGGAGGGATCCAAACCCGGACCTGAGGTTCCTCCTGTAGCTTATGCCAGCAGGAAATTAAATATCTAAGAGGTTGGGGTTTTTTTTTTTTGGCTTGTGGAGGAACTCCTAGAACATCATTGGGACTTGTGTAGAGAAGCATGGAATGGGATGGGCTTTGAGGTCCCTCCAACCCAAACCGTCCCGGAGCAAGGTAACCAAGCAAGGTGGGAGCAGCCCTTACCTCGAGGATGGAGGTCTGGACGTGCAGGACCTGCTCGTGGCCCTTGAGCTGCCTCACGCAGACCTTGCAGCTGAGCTGGGTGGTGCCGGGGCTGTAGCGCTCCAGGGAGAAGGCACAGAGCAAGGGCCGGGCACTGCCGCGCCACACGCGCGAGAACGGCACCTCCTGCCAGGGGAGGGACAGGGACATGGCATCAGGGACACAGGAAATGGCATCAGGGACAGGGACACGGCATCAGGGACACGGGAAATGGCACTGGGGACATGGGAAATGGCACTGGGGACATGGGAAATGGCATCAGGGACACAAGACACTGAGCAAAACCAGCCAGGGCTCCTCCCTGCTGCTCCCCTGACCATCCCTTCAAGCTCCCAGCAGCACAAAGCCCATTCCGCTGATAAAACACCTTCACTGAAAGCTGAGCTTTCATCCAGTGGGACAAATGGTGGGAGACGCAGCTAAACCTTAAAAATGTCGCACTTCACTCCCTCCTTGCTGAGGTCAGAGCTCTCTCTGTTGTCTCATCACCATCCCCTTGTACTACAGAACCCAAAAAAAATGGAGCTTCCCATCAAGAACTCTGTCAGCCTTCCCTTCTCCAGCTGAAACCACCCCAACTGTGCCCATCTCCAGCCCCAGCTGGATCCTGAGCTGGGAGCAGCAGCAAGATAGTGACAGTGATAAAGAAAACATTAGCAAAACGTTACAAGTGGAGCAACCATAATTAGATTTTTTTTTTTTTCAGGGTAATCATCTCTGCTTTCATCCCGAGTGGAAGAATCACTCAGCTGAAAGGAATCACATGAAACAATACAGAAGGACAACGTGTGGTGAAGGATGAGTGCTTCAAGTATTCCAGAAATGCTTTCAGTTTCATTCTGCCTTTATAATTAAGTTCCCAGCAGAGACGGGGAATGTAAATCATCTCACAGCTCCAGACAGAGCCCGGATCCTCCCAGGGACACAAGGTGGGGGGAACACAGCTGCTTTCAAACCCCCAAAGGTGCCTGCCTGGCTTCTTAGCATGCTGCTCACTGCCCCAGCCTGCTCCAGCACCCACCCAGTTTCCAAGGGCTCCCCCAGTTCCTCGGGAGCGCGGTGGGAAGGGAGCCAAGCGCTCGGCAGCTGCTCCTGCAGCACGGCCAGGACAAACAAACACTCCGCAGAGTCTGGAGGAATTCTGCTACCACCTGCCATTAACTGCTCTGCAGCCAGTTTTACATCATGATTTATTCATCCCCCCCCCCAGCAGGAGCTGAGGAATCATTAACAGGAATCTCTCCTCATCCCGCTGCCCTGTGATGGTTTTACTGGTGGACCCCAGGTAAGGCCCAGGCTCTGTTCCTGACAGGCAGCACAAGCAGCTGCTTCCACAGTGTGGGACGTGGGAGAGAACCCTGCAAGGAACTCCACATGCAGAAATAGAGACTTCTATCTGTAACAAGAGACTGGAACCAAACCAGAGCTGTCACCACACACGGCACTAAGGGGAAAACACAAAGCCAGCACAGGTTCTGCAGTTCTTCTAAGAGACAATTATTGTGTTCCTGAGCTGGCCAATTCATCCCAACTCCACTCAGTTATAAAGAGGGAATATTCCTCTGGGTCAGTAAGAGCCCTGGGTCAGCCCATTCTGGCAGCAGAGGTTTTGCACAGGCTTTAATTTAACCCTGAGCCCCTGCTCTGATCAGACTCCAAACAGCACTTGGAGGCTGAATTTCAGTCTGTCACACACATTCATCCTTCAGGCCCGGACAAGGGACCCAGAGACAATAAATTAATCAAAGTATGGAGCTGTGTCCCTAACCTGGCATCCTACTCCTGGGAGGTATTTGCAGTAGTAGTGGGGCATCCCAACACTGAATGGTTTGGCTTTTAGAATGCAGTTCAGTGAGCAGAAGAAACAAAACACTCAAAAGCTGTTCTTCACGAGCAGCTGAAAATGATTCACTTTCTTTCATTTCTTAAGTTGAAGCATAAATTATCCCTATATCCTTAATGAGGTAAGGCTTTATCTGGCTGTGGATCTGTGTTTATAAGTTTCAGAGCCCATTACACTCATGTTTTGGAGAACATGGCAACACATTTAAAACAGTTTTTTTGCCAAAATACTGAATGATAGATAATTGTCTCTCTGCTTCTGGGGAAAAGGGAGATTATATAGTCTAATTGAGTTCTGTATTTTAAGACCAGCCCACTCCATGTGCCAGCACATCACTTCTGATTCCCAGTAACCCACATCCTTAGAAATCCTTCTTTTGTTTTGATTTTCCCTTTCCGCTTTTCAACAGCCTCTTTAATTAATGGAGTGCAGAAAAAAAATAATTTGCTGCTCTTCAGTTCTAATTCTTGGTATCTGCATGCTGTGGTTTCAACTCTCATGATTAACATTTAAACGTCATTTTCAGCCACATACTCAGAGTTGTACCAAAACTGGAATAACAGATATCAGAAACATCTTCAGGAGTGATAAGTTTTAACAAGAATATTGGCCCTCTGACTCATTTTTGTTGCCTACTCAAGAGATTTAAACCACACCTTCCCAAACCAGAAGGAACCGCGGCCTTCTCTGGGTTCTGCCCATCCCAGTGCAAACCTAACCAGGTAAAACTGCCAAGTACCTGACATGCAGTAAATGGTTTAATTCTCCAGAGGAAGGGAGGGATATCCAGGACTGAGATCTGGAGACTGCAGGTATTTCCTTTAAAATGCAGAAGTTTTGGTTCCTCCAGTAATTGCCCTCCTTGGAGCCTTTCATCCGAAACCACCTCCTGCAAGGGCAGAGCAGAGAATTTGTTCAGTATGAGGAACAAACCCCAAATCCCAAGAGAATCCACCTGTCCAGAGGGGCCTGGACCACCCACAGCACGCCAGGAGTGTTTCTCTGGTGGGGCAGCTGATGGGACTGGTGTTCACTCACCCCCATCCCAGTTAAAGGGCTGGGTTTAGGCACAGCAGCTTTGCTGAGAAACTTCTCCCAGGGCTTTAAGAGCACTCAAACACACACACACACCAAGAGAACACATCAGGTCAAACAATTCAGCCTCGTTTCTCCTCTCTGGGGCGTCTTCAGAGTCACTGGACAAGACCCTGAGCAGTCTGGAGGGCAGACTTGGAGCAGGAGTTTGTATTACAGTCCTCTAGAGGTCTATTCCCAGCTAAAGTTTTATGTAATTCTGTGAATTTAAAGCATAATAGTAAAAAAAAAAAAAAAAAATCACCCCTGCCTGTGCTTAAGCAATGTTTATTCCTGTGCTGTGACAGTAAAAACACCAGCGAGGAAGGGAAAGTTGCACAAGTCTTTAAAAGTCAGCTGGCAAGCAGTCTCTCCAAATTACCTTTTTTTTAATCCACATAAATTATATCAAATCTGTGTTCATCGAAGGGGTTTAGTGCTTGCCAGTACCCAAGATACTGTCAGGAGAGCTCCTGGAATCATTGTGACCTTCTGAAAACTCAATGCCTGCTGGAGCTCTCTGAGACTGTACTAATGGATTCCCATTAGAGAGCAATTTTTTACAGGAGTTCGCTTTGTTTTAACTCCTGGTGGTCGGGTTTGTATGAGGGAAAGGATTAGAAGGGAGGCTTCAGTTTTTCATTTGCAGCCATGAGGGGAGCAGATTATTTCACAGCTGTTTTCAGAGCTCCTTGAAGGTGCTGGATTTTTGTTTGAAGTGCAGAACTGCACTGCAAAGGATTGCCTTGGTAACCCCAACTCCTGACTCTTTATCCAACCCCCCCAGTATTCTCCATGTTCACACTAATATTTACATGCTTTTAAGGGCTGTACCACTTTGTAAATACACAGCTGTCTCACTATCTACAAACACCCTGCTCTCATGCCTGTGAATGCAGAAAACTGGTAATTATTCTTCTAATAATTTTCTACAGACTCATCAGGAAGATACTGGTACCCATAATTGTGTAAGTGTTATAAAGAGTATAATTACAAAGCCATTGTAAGTCTTTAACAATCCTTTTGGTGGCTTTGCTTTTATTAGAAGCACACAGACATCAGTGAGAGTCGTGTTTCCATTTTGTGAGACAGGCAAGGGAAGGAAACTTTCATGTCACAACTGTCTTCATTTCAGCTCCCCGAAGAAAACCGTCTTGTTAAAGCTTCTGAGTTTAGTAAGGCTGCAAAAGTGAATTTCCCTGCTTTGTCCTGGAATACCATTACAAAAACCCTGCTCATTTCAACTGCCACCTGGGGATTGGTCTTTTTTCTCTTTTTTCTCTCTTTTTTTTTTAAAGGGAAAATGCACAATAATTTCACTTTTGTCTAAGAAGATGGCGAGCCAACCTCTTTCTCCTTGCTCCAGTTGGAACTGGGAGAGGAGATCCTGAGCTACTGACAGCTCAGGGGTGTGATAAAGGCTCTGCACCAGCTGGGAATGACTCCCCATTTTCTGGGGGGTGCAGACTGAGCTCCAGCTGCCCTTGGGCTCTGCAGGGGCCAAGGCTCCAGCTCAGCCCACCAGCCCTGCGTCTGTGCTGGGTCAAGCAGGGATTTTGGTTTTCCATCTGCTGCCCTAAAGCTCTCACAGCGTAAATCCACGTGTGAAACAACACCGCAGAGAAATCAGGGGACTTACTGCAAGTCACACAGCAATGGCTTAAAACAAAAAAACAACCCAATATTGTCACTTCTGGTGGAGTTCTGGGACTGTCCCCAGGACGGAGGAACGTTCGTGTCCTAGGGGAAAACAACCAAACCCCAACCAGCAAAAGGGAGAGCGTTTACCTGGAATGCACAAGGGGTGTTATCCATGCAATAAACTCTCAGATTGTAATCCAGAGAATTGCAAGACAGGCAGCCAAAAACGGCGACTTTCAGCTGTCGAGCGGCGCAGTCAGAGATGGGTTCCCCAATTAGGGCATAAGTTCCAAAGCTGTTTAAGAGAATGTGACAGGCATAAGGATCCAACAGGCAGTAGCAAGAAGTAGTTTCCTCTTCCACAGACATCACTTCCTGCAAAACGAAATCCAGGTTTAAAAAGAATAAAAAAAAAAAAAAAAAAAGTAAAAATCAATAGGCCTCGACAACATGGAGTCACTGCATTACTTGGTTTTTATTCAACTGGAGTGCAAAGTGTTCCTGAGAACCAGGCTGCACACTCAGGGAAGGGGAGATGGTAGACTACTTGTATGAGTAAATATTCCCAATTTAGCCCTGAGTCAGCAGCAGGATTTATGGCAATACACTGTGCAGGAGCCGGTGTGTACAGCATACAATAATAATGATGGTGCGTAAGCAATTTTAGCATCTTTTTTCAAGTGCTCTCGACTTTCCAGCTAATTTTTCTTCCCCCCAATGTCAAGTTAAAAAATTACCTTGAAGATTAAAGTTCAATAAGCAAACCTTGAACAATAGCTGGGAAGTTGACTTGCTTCCAGAACACCCACTGCGGTTACGTTTTCCCTTCATCAAAAATCTACCTCTCCCATTTTGAGGGGAGCCTTTGAGGCTCAGTCCTGCTTTAGAGCCCCACGAGAGGAGGGATCTGCTGATTCCTCCCCGATCCCAGGGTGTTTGGGACCCACACTGATGGAGCTGACCAAGGGAATCTAAAGCAGGAAAACCAACCTGACCTGGAAATGGTTTAAAGGAGAGCAACAAGCCAGGCAGTGGTTTGGAGGAGGGAAAGGACATGGAGGGGTTTGTGGAACCCAGGAATGGATTCTGTATCCATAAATGCTTTACCTGCTGATTTCCCCCCCCCCTCACAGTGCCACGAACCAAACAGTTCCAGCAGCAGCAATGCAATAAATCCATTGCCTATGGATTTGTGTCTGGTAACTGGCTCTGCTGTTCCCAGGGCATTCAGCCCTTTCCATCCTCTGTGGATTTGAGGAATGCTGAGTAACAGTTTGGGTGGTGTTTTATTTTAGGAGGGTTCTCAGTCTTTTCTCCCCAGATGACACAAAGTTCAGGACATCTGAGACTGCTGCCCACCAAAGAGTCCCAGCCCCAGGTGGCCAATGGCATTAAAAATGCCGATGGACAGACTCAAATGATCAAATCCTCCTGTTACAAATGCACAAAGCTTAATCTCCTCAGCCAGGCAGGATTAAGAAGTAGATGTTCAACTAAAAAAGCACAACAGTTTAATGTGCACTAATCCTTCAGAGGTTCTGAGCACAGCTCAGTCACTGAATGCAGTGCACAGAGGCACAAGGTTTTAAACTGTCAGGATTTTTCCGGGCTAAAATACAAAAATATTAAACTTGTATATTTTTAAGCACCTTCCTAACTTTCTCATGGTAAATTCTTCTGTGCACATAATGTTCTTTTCTGACATGGGTCTCTTTGGGAGCTGTGATCAATCAGAACGATGTTTTTACACATAAATCTGGGAAAACTGATTACTTCTCCTGCCACATGTGGGTGGATCACAAAGGTGGATCACAAAGCTGACCCTTTGCTGCAGTGCAAAAATGGGTTCTTATTTTAATTGTTTCTCTCAGGTGTCTGTGTCTGTCGCTGCCGCAATCTCTGAGCTGCGCCTGCACGGCCAAGAGAATCTAAACCGTGTTCCCATCCTCGGTACAACCCTGTGAGGGGGCTCTGGCCTTACCTCCCACTTCCCCTGCTGTGTCCTCCTCTTGAGGTGGATGTTCCAGTGCTCGGGGTTCACCTCTGCGCAGTGGGGGATGGTCAGGGCGAAGGGGGTGCTCACCGACACCTCCGGGGGCCCGCACGTCACCTCCGGCCCCAGCAGCACGGCCGAGCCCTCGGGCTGCAGGCTGGGGAGGGGGAGAGGGAAGGCAGGAACGTCTGTCAGCACTGAGAATTCATTGAACTGCCAATTTCCAAGTGGTTTTGTTCAGATCCCGGCACCTCACTGTCTGTTACAGAAAAGGGTAAGCAGTGCTCATCTCCACGGAGGAGCCCGAACAAGACCATCAGACCCCACGGAACTCCATCCACCGGCCAGCTCAGGACTCTGGGATTCGAAGCACATTCCAATCTGTTTAACCCAAGTACAACAGTGGAACTGCTGTGTGCAAGCAAGCCCTGCTTCAGTGCACCAGCTGGTCCCGCTCCCACCACGCTCTGCCTTCCAACAATGTTTTCACAGTAACCAAGATAAAACAGATTATGGTTTAAGAAACACAGGCTCATAAATTTCTGCAGATTGGGTGTGATTCCCCCCCTGGTTTGAAAGCCCCTTTATGCTCTGCAGGATGAAGAGCTCAGTAAGTTCCACGGACACCAGGGAGGGGTCTTTGCTCAAATCCAGAGCTCTGCGGAGTTGGATCCGTGCACGTGGCTCCAGGACAGCCAGTGGAGATCCCAGCAGCACAGCTCTGGGGACTCATCCCATCTGAACCCATCACCCATGCTTGGCTGCACTATCTGCTGGCTGAGTTACAGAGATGAAGCATCTGACAAGAATCTTCTTACCTGGACTCCTTCTGAGCGATGGCAAGGTAGATTTCCCAGGAACTCTCTTCAGGAATAGCTCCATGTGGGATCAACAGACTGACTCCTGCAAGAGAGCAAAGGCAGAACTTCCCTTTGGGAAAGGCACAGGATGCAAAGGACACTGCACACCCCCCTGGGCTCTGATGGACACCTACAGAGCTGCCCAGCAGAGGAATGTTCCTCCAAAACTGAGCTGCTGACTGCAATGCCACCAGACGAAAGGAAAATACATTATTAAAGGAAATAAAGACATTATTTTTCCATTAAAGGCAAATACATCTTTTTTCCCCAAAAAGCCTCTCGAAAGCTCTTTGCCCCTTTCCAACTCTGAAATCAAAGCTGACAGTTCCAGGGTCACAAAGAATCACCTTTTTGAGGTGTCACACAGTGCAGAACCTCAGCAAAGCAGTGGCCTGATCACACTATAATTTACAATTGGCTAGCAAAGATGGGCTTACATAAAGGCAGAATTACATAAATTGCAAGTGGACCAAATACATATTTAAATAATCTAATTGATGGGACTACCATTATATAAAGTAGCTAAATATACAGTGTGAGGGAATTCTTAATTTATGCCTTAACTTACACAGTGCCTCTGCCTCTGTAATGTTCATTCCTGAGCATAAAAACAATCTGGGAAGAAATTAAAACTCTCCATGTGTTGTGCAAGATTGTGCACTAATAGTGCATCCCTCAATTGTACACTGTTATCAATCTTCCCTAAATACAAACCACATTTTTTATGGTAACCTTCAAAGTGCCCATTTCATGAAACGTGAAGGATAAAGCTCTAAATCATTCAGTGCAACCAGAGAGCAAGAAAAAGGCCTGGACACACCTGAAAACAGTTGAATTTAGAGTGAATGAAGTTCACCAGAGTTTGAAAGATGACGACAAGCTCTGAGCTGGCAAGGGGGGGAATCTGGCTTTTTCTGCTACATTTGCCCTTTTGAAAAAGGAAATCTCTCCAGCAAGGTGCAAACACAGCGATGTGGCACAAGAGGGCTGGGGTCTGAACATCCTGTCCTCCAGCCTGACCTGCTGCTGGGTGTGTTCAGCTGCCTCAGAAACATCTAAAAGACAACTCACAGAGCCCTGAAGTCACAAACCAAACTCCACTCCTTAAACCATGCGAACTGAGCATCTCAGTGCCCAGCCCAGCCCCGGGATGCAGCTGACTGTGGAGTGCCCCACTCTGCAAACCTGCCAGCTTTGATGCTGAAAGCAGAGAGGAGCAGGAGGGCAGCAGGGGCTGATCCCAAAATCCCCCCCAGGGCCCCCGTGGGGAGCAGGGGCTGCTCTCCAGGGCTGGCTGTTGCTCCTGTGCTGCTGACCCCGGGCTCAGACCCAGCCTGGATGTGGAGAGGCTGCTTTGAGTGTGAGCCCTTTAGATCAGATGCTGATCCAGTATCGACCCCCTTCCCAGGGAGCCCTTCCTTTGGATCAGCATCCAAGTAAGCAACGGCTTTGATTAATGTGACTTTCATGCTGAAGACATCAAGAGAGGCAGTAATTTAAAACAGTTCAAATAGGCATAATGCCTCCTTCCTCCTCAGCCCAGGCTTTCTTCTGATCACTCATCTCCTGTGTGGGCAACATGCCCTACTTCCCAAAGTCTGCATTAAAGGGAGCCCCCACTTTTTCCTTCCTTGCCTTTTTTTTTTTTTTTTTTAAATTTAGTTATAAAACACTACACCAGGCAAGCTCATCCGAAACTCTTTTTTCTGTGCTTTGAATGAGGAAGGATCCACCCACCTGTGTTTGGAACCACCAGACGGCCCCCCAGGTGCCCAAAAAGGGCCGTTGTCCTGAGCTCGCTGGTGGTGGAGAGGGAAGCCAGGTTCTGGATGTACATGGCCTTGTTCCTGGCCTGGATGGTCCCGAATGCCCGGTGGTTCCCATGGGGGAAGGTTCCAGGATGGGCCTTCCCGTGGAACTCTGCCCTCTCCGTCACCCCCAGGGACACCATGAAGGAGCTCTGCACCTTGACCTTGATGTCGGACAGGGGGTTGAACAGGGAGGATTCCGTCATCAGCTCCTTGTCCATGGGGTCCTGCAGGCAGATGGGGCCGCTGTAGGTCCTGCTGACGGTCAGGTCGGGCTGCATGGAGGAGTTCAGGAGCAGGGAGTTACCTGTGGGATGAGCAGGGAGCTCGTGACTGCTTGGAAATGTCCCCCCCAGGAGCCCCTTTCTGAGCCCTCCCCACCTGCTCAGTGACTCGCTCGTCCCTCCTCACACTCTCTGAGCTCAAAATCACATCAGGCAACGCTAAAGAACAGAATCACGTCAGGCAACAGCTCCAACATCACTGTGTTTTCCACACTCCAGGCAGCTCCAGAGTGCAGGAATCCAAGAAGGAGCTTCCTTTTGTCTTGGATTCAAGTTTGTGTGTTTGCCTTTCTGCTTTCTTGGTTTTTTTTTTTTTTTTTTTTTTTTTTTCTTACATTAACCCCCCCTGGGTGAAACCAGGGCTTCCTGCAGACCTTTTCTGTGAGCTCACACAAAATGATAACTTCCTGCCTGAGGGGAACTGGGCTGAAAAGAAAGTGGGACGAGAGTAATAGGGGGAAAAATACCACAGTTATTCATTTAGGGGCCTTTAAGGTCAGAAAACACTCTGAAAAAAAGTGGCCTTTTTTTCCGCTGAATTGTTTACAAATACTCTCATTTAAAAGCCCCACAGTTACTGGAACTGAACCAATAAGTTAAGAAATTGGTGTGCTCAGGTATTTTCAGAGCATCCAGAACTAATGGCTTTAAACATTAGATCAAGTGAACAATCCTCCAGACTCTAAACCAGGTTTAAGCTGAACCACAAAGGAAAAAGTCACTGTGTGAGAGTCACTGAGAATTACACAGCTCTAATTAAAGGCTTGGATTTGGCAATGAATGACTGAACCTCCTTCAAACCTCCCTGTCTACCCAGCCCTTTCCCCAATTTCTTGCAACTCCTGCTTGGTGAGGAATGTCTCCCACGACATAAAGGAACTGTAAAAACAACAATATAAAAAAAAAAAAAGCCCCAAACAAACTCTTGCAACATATTTCCCTTTTCTGCAGAGGGAACAGAGACATGGGGCTGCTTTCACACCCCACCAACACAACACCCACTGCAGGCAGCCTGGGCTGGGGAGAAGGGCAGAACAGAATCAGGAAACATTCTGTTTTCATCACCATTCCTGTCCCTGCCCACCTGTCTGTCCAAAGGAAATATAATATGCCAAAGAACAGGAGTGCTGCTCTTACTGAATGTTCTGTCCATGTTTTATTGCACTGGTGGGGTTTTGGGGCTTAAGGGGGTTTTACACCCATTTATTTCCCACAGTGTTACAGCAGCCTGCAAGCTGGGGTTCTCAAATTATCAGTAACTAACCAATCACTCTTACTGGAGCAAAGAAAAGGTCTGCACCTGACTAGGAAGGAACTACAGACAGCGCTGCCTGGGTTAGCTTTGATTTGGTTTAATCCGGGCTCTTCCCAAGTCCTAAACATCAGTGCAAAAGCTGGGGACAGCCTTTCCAGAGCCCCTGGAGCGTGGTCAGGAAGGATTCTGCCAGGGCAGAGCAGCGGTCAAGGCAGTTCCAACCAGCAGGTCCTGTCCCTGCAGCCAGAACCCCCTCCCCAGCCCCCCTGGGCGGGAGCGTGCAGCGGGGCGTGGGGGTGGGAAGAGAACGAAACCACAGCACTAACCTTGTCTGACTGTCTTAAAATTAAATGCCTGGAAGCCTCCCGTGAGTGCAGAGGAATCAATGACATCCACGCCGTACTCACTCTGACTGCGCCTGTACAGGGTGACGCCGACCACCAGCACGGCCACCGCCAGCACCGCGGCCCCCAGCCCGGAGTACAGGGCGATGTCACTGGCGGCCTCCAGATCTGGGGGGAGAGCAGAGCAGGGGACAGGTCAGGAATGGGGGGTGGGAGCAGCTCGGGGGGCTCTGGGCAGCCCCAGCCATGCAGAGCAGGTCCCGGGAGCGCGGAGAGCACCAAACCCTCTGAGCACACGGGGCCATCCCTCCCCTCTCTAAACCCCCTGGAGACCACTCCAGAGTGGAAATCAACCCTCCAAGGGAGCACCAGGAGCTGCAGCCAGGGGGGACTCAGCAGGAGTTTCACCTCTTTCTGGCTTCCAGGGACACGCAAGTTTCGGATTTGGATTCTGGAGCTAATCCAGGAGGTCGTGGATCCCCTGTGAAGAATCCGGGTGCAGATCTCCCTTTCCTCCTCCTTAGTGTAGGGAAGGAACATTCCATCCTCTCCTAGCCCAGAGTGGGGCTGAGGAGACCCCCACAAACATCCCTGGGAGCACCTTCAGCCTTTAGAATCAGGCTGGGAACCGACCCTTCCCCGTGGCTGCTCCCACACAGGAACTCACAACCAAGTTTTCCACGGCTCCAAACTTTGACAGCAGAGGAAAATAATTCCTTGCTCTGCCAGAATGAATCCAAATGAAGACTGCAATATTCCATAATTGAAACATCCAGGCCCGCTGTTCTAGGTCTGCTGGGATTTGGGACAGCGTAGCATGAAATTAAATTTCTTGGCAAGTGCCCTTAGTGGGTCCTTGGACGGTTCCCTTCATGCCCAGCTCCAGTTTGGAGGAAGGGAGCCAGGAGTTCACCCAGTACATCATCTGTTCCCTGCTGGGGGGGCTCCTCCTGGCACGGGAGAGGCCCTGGGAACACAAACTGCATTTATTTATAACAAACAACAGCGACAAAAAATAACTGGGAAATCCAGACCGCTCAGAAGCAGTAAATGAACTGCACTGCGCAGAAACAGGGCGGGAAGTCAAAAATCAGCGTTTAATAAATAGCCAATTACTGAAATTACTTAATTGCTGTTTGGGAGGAGGCTTGTGTTGTGCTTTTCTGCAGGAAGTCAGATAACCTTATTTTAGCTGAATTTTTGGAGGTCATTGGGGAACTCGAGGCCGTTGAGATGAGAGAAATGAGCACCTACGGCAGCATTTCCTCGGCTCGGCACCTCCTCGAGATGCAAACCAAGTGTCAGACGACTGACAACACCCAGAGCTGAACGTCCTGGGGAGGGGCTGAGCACAGGCTGTTCCTCACCACAGGAATCCCAGCACCCCCTTCACCCCAAAAATAAATGTTTTCACATCAGTTACACAAGAACCACCGATTAGCCGAGAAAATTCCTGCTGCATTTCCAAATAACCTCACACTGAAAGGGGTTCTGCTTTTAGCACGTTCACAACTCGCTGAGAAGGAGGAAAAAAAAATAATCGTGAAATTTGCATGCAAATATCAGCTTTGAGAGGAAATCCACCTTCTGTGGTAGGTCAGGATGGGAAATCACATTAATAAACTTATAAATAGCTCTGATCAAACTTCTTAGGACGCAGTTCTACTAAAGCAATTACTAGAGAGAAAGATCTTTTTTCTAAAGCATTTTTTTCCATGAGACCCCCTCACTGCCCTTGAAAAATGTTGTAAAGAGAATTTTAAGCATTTTTGGTTGAGAACTGCAGAGAGTCAGCTGTGAGCTGACAGTGCAAAGTGAGACTGAAGATGGGAGGATGCCAGACAGGACAAACCCAGAGGGTCACACGGGCAAACTGGGAATGGCTCAGGTCAAACCAAGACAACCCAAACCCCAATCCAAAGCCTCAATCCCACACTGGTTCTGCTCTCCAGGATCAGGTGCAGAAAAGGGAAGTGCAGACACGCTAATTACATTTCTAGTTCTTCCAGTTTACTTTCCCCAGGTTGCTTTGTTGTTACAGGGAATTAATTATGAAACTCTACTGTTGACTTAATTTTGGAAGGTAATGAGTGCCATGAGCACGGCAACAGAAGGAATGTGATGGATGCCCAGTGGGAGGAGAAACCCAACAGCAAGTGGGTCCTTCCCTCTGCAGGGTGAGCTGTGGTTACTGCCCCACAAAGCATCTTTAGGGCTTCCACTGTGATCACTACTTTAAAACAGGAAAGTGCTGAAAATCTGAATTACCTCTTCCACCTTCCTGGGATGGTAAATTATTCAGTGTGGAACGTGCAGAAATAACCTGTCAGTGAAAACTTACAGCCAGTGGGATGGCAACAGGTGGAAAATACTGGAGCTGATCTCCTGCCATCCAAACCAGACCATAAACCACACTTCAGTTCGCACCTGTAACTGCAATTTCTTACTCTACACGTTCTGCAGCAGCTCAGCTGCTTCTTTTCAGTCAATTCTGACGTCAGACAATCTCAGTATCACACTTCTGTAACGTTATTTTATCTTTAAAATACCCAGGTTAAAGAGCAGAGAGAGAACAAGCAATTCAAAACAACCAGAACAGTTTGACCCAAGCAAGATTCTTCTGAGGAGAAGAATTTTCACTGAATACTTTTATAAATTCTATGATTAAAGCCTCTTACAGTTATTCTTTCTGAGTTCCCTTCTCTTCAAGTACAAGTTCTGTTCTGTGGAACACCTGGAAGGGTCACTCAGGTGCTCCCAAAACTGTCCCACTGCAAGGGGGAAAAGGCCAAGGATCTCCTTTTCAGGATTTAACAGGTTTTTAAACAGCTTTTTGTTAAAAGAGCAAAGCAAGAGGGACGTGGCATTCCTGGAATTATTCCCATGGATCACAACTCCTTCCCCTCTTGATTTAGGATGTTAGTATTTCTTTAGAAACAATTGCTGGCTTTTTAAAGTAATTTTAATCTCTTCATCTTTGTCTCTTTCCTTACAGAGAATCCCTTTCATGGAAAGACTAGAAATTAAGGGGGGGGAAAAAAAGGAAAGCGTGGGAAATTTGGGGAGTGGGGTAAAGTTTCTGCTTTTATGTTTTCCCAGAAGGGAACAAAGTGAAAAAACAAACAAACTAGAAAAGAAAACATTTATAGCCAACCAATTACTATTTAATGAGCTGCATCCTCCCAGCCCAGAGGCAGGAGGGACTCTGGCAAAGCACCACGATTTTTATCCATTTGGGTTCCAGGATCCATGTTTGTGGTAATTGCAGCCTATTTTTCACTCCACCTCCTGACACTGTTACACAACATTTATTGAAAGCACATTTGATGGTAATGAAGTTTCTATTAACTATGATTAAGTTTCATAAAGCACCTGAAGATAATTTAAGATGTGCAGGAGCAGAAAATGAAACATTTGGTTTAGTACATTAGGAAACGTAATTGATTAAATTATCTCATTTACAATAAGTGCTTTCCAGGAGCTGTGCAGGGCACACCCTTCCCCCTCTACCAGCAGGCTTTGTGGGGAGATCTGAGAGGTTCTTCCAGCCCCAGCCCTTCCCATGCTCCCTGCTCTCCATCCCTCCCTCCCGGGGCCCCCTGGCAGCCTGGGCTCCGTTCCCTCCCGGAGCCAGTCCTGGAGCACAGGGATCAAAAGTCAGAGGCTCGTGTGAGAGGTTATTTGCTAGAACAGGTTGTTTCTCAATTATCTTCATAATTGGCTTTGATTTTGCATCACTGATAAGTCATGGGGGCCTGGACCAAGGCCCTGTTCTGCTGTATTTCATGCCTCTAACCCCCAGCCACAGCAGAACCTTTTCATTCTCCAGGTGTCTCCCAGGCTGAAATCAATTCCACTAAAGCTACTTTTTTGGATAAATCAGAAAATCAAGTGATTTTCCTGGTATTCTTTCAAGCTTCTCTATGAAAGGGGAAGTGCACAGGTAACACAAATAATTAAGAGCCAGGAATGCAAAAAAATCATGGAATCACAGAATCATCAGGGTTGGAAAAGCCCTCTGAGATCACCACATCCAACCATCCACCAGCACCACCACCACGGTGGTCCCCACCAGCCCTGGGGCTGCAGTGCTGGGGTGCAGGACAGGGACCCCCAGAGCAGCCAGAAATGCTGATCAGATATTCTGGACAGGGCAAGACCCAGGAACACCTTTGCAAGTGAGACAGGAAGGCTGGAGGGAGCTGAGCAAGGTCAGAGCCATGAGTGGAACCAGATCTGGAGCAAGAAAACCAAACTCCTCTATTAATTTCTTTTTTTTTTTTTTTTTTTTTCTAATCAGAAGGGCTCAGGAGATCAATCCCAGCACAAGCATTCCTGCAGACAGGGCTCCCTGTCAGACACAAATTGCTAAGGAGTGATCACTTCTCTGGTTTTAGGCCAAAGCCTATGATCACAAAGGTGCTCAGAAGATGCTTTCAGCAGATGCTAAAGCCTTTTATAAAACCTTCCGTGGTACTTAGATCCTAAACAAATAAACCAAATGGCAGAGAAGATGAGAAAAATCATATTTACAAGAGAAAAAAAACAACTTACTTTGGGGTTTTATTTCATGAAGAGGTTTTTTATCTGAGAGAGAGAGAAAGAGAGAGAGAGAGAGAAAGTTGCACTTAATAAATTTATATGGAGCATATCTATTTCCTATATTGCTTCTGTCTCACTCTATAAATGAAACATTTTCTCCTCGTTTGCTGACAATATGAATATTTTATGTTGTCCATATTTTTCTCTTCATCTTGTTTTTTTCTAAATCCCTTTCAGGATGTTTCTTTGCAGTAATTTCTCACTTGGTTAATTCAAGTATTTGAATTAGCTCTATTGGATGCTGTTATTTATTTACATCTCAGCAAGAAGGAAGTTCAATACTTTGCAGTGGATCACTTGGTAAAGAGTCAGTTCAGAATTAATGACTTCTTGTGTGTTTGATATATGGAAAGGTGAGCGATGTACACTTAAAAGTAACTCATAAAATATAAAAATGTACAGCATATCCACATTTATGTACCTAAACACACACCAATAATCACGTCTATACGTGCACATTCCCTGGCACCCTCCACTCTCACCCTCACTGTCAGTTCAGTTCCTATTTGTTAACCAAAGGAAGGTCTCATTTCTATTTTTGCCTCACGAAAGGAACAAAGTTAACAAGTTGTGCCTGATAAATAACCTCCAAGAGATTAGTTTTCTGCAGCACAGTGCTGCATTTCCTCCACAATTCCCCACGGGAGGAGAGGCAGAGCAGGAAAGGCACATATTGGAAGATGAGCAGGGGAAAAAAAAAATTAAAAAATAGGGTAATTGCATCAATTCCTATTAGCTGAGAAAGCAATTACAGTCCTAAAAATAATTTGACACAAGTATATACCTACAGCTCGACCCATAAAGGAGAAACAGGATCACAGTGTGTGTGGGGGGGGAAGAAACAGGAGACACTGAACACTGCAGTCCAGCTGAATCCATGTGGAAACACAGTCTGGAGCAGAGATGGAGGAGCTGGACAGGGTTTGGAACAACCTGGGCTAGTGGGAGGTGTCCCTGCCCGTGGCAGGGGGGGAACGAGATGAGCTTTGAGGTCTTTTCCAACCCAAGCCATTCCATGATTTTATGATTCCATGACACTACCTGGTACTGCCTGGCCCAGGCAAAGGAGGGGATGAGATGTTTACCAGGCAAAGAGCTCAGAGGGCAGAGCTGATCCAGCTCCCCTCAGCACTCTGAGAAAGGCACGGGGTGCTGGATGGATGCACCACCACGTACAGAGTTCCCCTCTGGGTACATCACAAGGCAGCTTTTATCTTTCCTACCATGAAAACCAGCCTTGCTTTAGGGAACACAGACACTTGTTTAAAAACACACATGATTTAAAAAAAATAAATAAATTAAAAATAAAATAATGTTGCCCTGGTGAACAGAACCCCAAACACACAGACCCTCCTCTCCCTCTCATTTCATTTGACCAGGGTGTGGATTCTTTGAATTTATAAAAGCTTCAGAGGGCTTTATCCTAGAACAGCTCCTAGGAATGCACTCCTGGAATTAGCAGTAAATATCACAGTGGTCCTTGAAAACCAGTTCATTTTGTTTAGAAAAGACATGGCAATGCAGCACCACAGAAACAACGACAGGGGACTAGTTAAATATAAAATCGAGTAAAAGTAGACTTGTTCCCGTTCACATCTCTCATCCCTGGCACTCCTGACTGCTCCCACGGCTGCCATTCCCCCTGGTGAGGTGACAGTCCCAGCACAGGAACAAGGAGCAGGCTCAGGGCAGGAATAAAGGTGCCAATTCCTCCCCATGAGGAGCCTGCACAGCCCTGCCACAGCTGCAGGGCTCCTTTCTTGGCTCCCACTTGTCTGTTGATAGTAACAGCTACCAAGTGCCAGATGCTTTCCAGGCACTGATGAAAGGCAAACCCTTTCCCAGGGAGCTGCAGATTTGCCTGTATTTAACTCCTGAATTAAAGGCACCAAACGGGGTAAACTTTGACCTTGAGCAGCTCCTGCACCAGGAGCTTCCCTGTCGGTGCTTTGCTCGCTTCCTTGCAAGGCAAGGCAGGAGGCTGAGGGGCACATTCCACGGACCAGGTTGTGCTGGCCACAGTTACACGCTGCAAACCCCCTGTGCCTGGATTTTTAGAGCCATCTGATCATCCCTAAGCCGAGCGTGTGCCACGCAAACCCTGCTCCTCCGAAAGCACCGCCGATTTCGGGTTTCACATGGGGGGAGCCCCCTGGAAAACGCCTCCCTTCTCACACACGGGTTCTGCTGACACAGGTGTGCCACACTCCCATTCCAGCCCCTCTTCCAGGCCATCCCCCCTCAGCCCCGCTCACCTTGGATGCAGAGCCCCTCGGTGCAGTTCTCCGACTCCTGGCCCAGGCCCTCGCAGAACTTGCCGCCGTTGCGGGGCGGGGGAGCGATGCACTCCCGGACCCTCAGGTGCTCGCACTCAGGGCTGCACACAGACCACTCGCTCCACACCTCCCAGCTGCCGTCCACTGGGAGCGAGGGGGGAAAGGAAAACCAGCGTCAGCAACCCCGCTGCTGTGGCTGCAGGTCCCACGGGAACACTCGTTCCACGTCTCTCCCCCATAACCCCGCGTTTCAGATACCCGAAAGCAAACTTTTCCCAGCTGGGTAACGCTTGTGAGTGAAGTTCTTATCTTAGGTTTTTGTGCTTATCTTCCTGGTGTCACCAAAATCAGCTCCCCCTTTCCCAACACCCCCCCCCACCCCAGGATTTCTCCCACTCAGCCAGTTGCTGGCTTGCTGTTGAGCAAACCAATTCCTCCCCATTTTGTCAGTGTAAATCACAGCACGGACAAACCTGGGTGCCACAGGTGCCCCTCAGTGCTGCTCACACCCTACACCAAGCTCCGAGCTCCAGCCTGGGCAGGGCTGGGAGTGTTTCCCCCGCCTTTCCTCCCCCGGTGGGCTCTCCAAGCCCAGCTCTGCCCGGCACCGAACCGTGACACCCACGGGGACTCACCGGGGCAGAGGGAGGTGCAGGTGATTTTCTGCACGGACATGCCCTCGCAGAAGGCCCCCCCGTTGAGCGGGGCGGGGTTGGTGCAGGTCCGCGAGCGTTTCTGCCAGCCCCGGCCGCAGCGCGCGTTGCAGTTGGACCACTCGGTCCACGACGACCACCCCCCGTTCACTGCAAGGCAAGACACGGGCCTCAGGGTGGGGGCAGGACGCAGCCAGCGACAAAGCCCACCCCGTGGGGAGCTCCTCCCGGCGGGAAGGAGGCCGGCAGTGGGATGTGGGGCGCTGGAAACACCGAGCTGTGCGGCGGGCAGAGCCCCCACAGTGACCCCAATCCACACTGACCGTACACCACCACGGTGGCAGACAGGCTCCTCCGCTTGGCCACGATGTTGGCAGCCATGCACGTGTAGTTGCCCGAGTCCGACAGCCGCGCCTGGCGGATGATGAGGTTGTGGTCGGCCCTGGTGTCGATGTTCTCGTCCAGGTTGGAGTCGATGGGCTCCTCGTTCTTCAGCCACTCCACCTGCACGGGGAAGGAGCAGAGGGGAACCTGAAGGAGGCCAAACAACACTGATGGCCTTGTTAGTCTGACTTCCTTCGACCCAGTTTTGCTCGAAGAACACGGAAGAAAATCTCCACCAAGAGAGGATAAGAAATATTTGTAAATATTGCTCTCGGTACACCCTGCTTTGTGTGTTCAAACAAGTGGACAACTGCCAGTTAAGGTTCATATTAGACTGGGATGGCACAAAGGAAGTAATATTGATTCTACTTTTTTGAGAAGAAACAGAGACACTGAAGTGTCAGGAAAGAGACACTACAGAAAAAACTGCTTGACATCACAAACAGTGGAAGAGCCAACTCATCATAACAAATTCCACATTTCCATAAACACCCCTAAAACAGAGACCATCAGTGTTTGCTGTCATGGCACATAAACACCACGAAATGCTGTGTATAATATATTTCAATACATCTTCTGGAGTTCACCAACCAACACATCTCTGAGCAGCCCCAGGAATTATCTGCAGGGCATTTCTCCACTTGAAGCATTGAAAACAAATAGTTAAGGTGTGGCAAGCTGCTGTTACAGGAGTGAAAAAAATTTAAAAATAGAAGCAAAATCAACTGATTATACAAAAAGACTGAAGACGTGAGTTATTTTAATGGCTTTCCTTAGACCTGAAGGAGGTATGGCCAGGCCCTGGAGTCAAATACCCTTCTCAACTCAGTTCAGATGAATAACCTCGTTTAGTAACTTGTGGAAGGACTTGGAAGTTCATGGTAATGAGCTTATGGATTTGGTAGCTACAGGCACTCATTAGCACTCTGCTCTGCGCAGATGGTCTGCAATTTGTGGATTTTCCAGTTTATAAACAAATCTGCAAAAGCTGACCAGCAAAGCCAATTACAGCCCGTGCCAGGCAGCAGGTTCCCCTTCCAGGAGCATCACTCGTGGGGTCGCTGGGACAGGAGGTGTGGGAGGGACGGATCCATCTCCCCGTGTCCCGGACCAGGGCTGCAAACTCAGACTCTGGCTCTGTGGCACTTTATCCCACACCATAACCATGGAATTAAACACTTATTTTACACATCTGGGTAAAAGAGCATCCAGCTCTGACTCCCTGCTGTCCCTTCCCCTGTGCCAGCAGTGCCAAACCCTCCCCTGAACAGCATCTCCTGCAGCTTGTTCCATTTTCCTCTGGTCTGAGACACAGAACAACCAAGGGATCTGTCTGCTACTCAGTCTCCCTTCTGCAGTTAACTTTAATCCTAATTATCCAAGGGGGTTTCAGCACAGAAATTAGGAATGCAATTTAAATTATGGAGCAGCCACAGGAGCATAAATCAAGTGACAGAAATTCGATTGTCAGGCTCAGAACCGAAACCACTTTAAGTGCAGAGAGAAACGACAAACATGTCCAGCATTCCCAGAGTTCACTGTGTCACAAGGGCATTTTGGCTCTGATCAGGTCAGGGATTTTGTGGGTTAGTGGGAGGGGCAGGGGAGGGTTCAGTGTCCCCATTCCTGTCACACATTCCGGGCTGTTCCAGGAGGGAGCACACGCTGCTCCGGTGTCTGCTGAGCCTGGCACTGCGAGGTTTGGGGACCCAAAACCACTGCCATTAAAGCAAAGCCTTTAGAAGAACGATGACCCCAGCAAAGGGAGAACATTAAACAGGTGGAACACAAACACCAAAGTGTTGAGACGTGAGATCAAACCGGGGTTTGCTCCGGAGGACGCGCGGCGCCTCTTCCTTCTCATCTGGAGTGGATGGCACTGCCAACACTCCCCTCACTCCAGCCCCCCCTCCCTTGAAGAAAACCAGACTTATTCAGAGCCATTCCCTGCCTTTGCCTCAGCAGGGGGGTGCTTTCAAAGATGGAGAACTAAGGGATGAACTTACGGGATGAAGCTGATAAATTCAAAGGAGTCGTGGTGACAAAAGATGGTTGTCACTGGCAGGGATGTGACCTTTGGAAAAATTCAGTCCCCCACACAAATACGCACAGAAACCAAGCAAGGAAAATAAAAGCAACAAAGCATCTGCAATGTCTCCACACTGAAATGAGCAGCAGGGCCCTGAATTTCAACCTCTGAAGAGTGGACTCAAAACTCACCACCATTTAACTCCCCTCCCTTTGTCATCAGTGGAGGTCACACAGTTGCTTGTAACAGAATTATATCCTTTTCTTTTTAAGAATTAGTCCATCTGAAGATCTTAAATGTTTCTATATTGAACCAGACTTAAAACCTGCTATAATATACCATAAGTTTGTATAAAGATATCTGGGGTGTTTTTTTTCCCTGAAATTCAATCTGCTCAGAATTAAAATACCCCCATAATTTCTTAGGAAGGCTAATCAGGGAATGATCTCCAAAGGCAGTGCAGGGGCAGATGGGGATTAACTCAGCCCCTCCGAGCTGGGTGGCAGCAGCAGACGAATTAGCATAATCATAAATTTGTTCCAATTACAGAAAGCAATTATCAAAGACCAGCTTACAGCATTATCAAAGTAAAATCAGCTATTACCCCACATCCCACATAGATTACAACGGGAGTTAGAGAACTTTTCTTCTGTAAAAATAAACCTCATCCCACCTCAGCCAGGTGTTACACCCCAAAATCTGGGCTGCTTTGGAGCCCGATGGTGACACCACAGCAGCATTTTTTTCCCCCCTCATGAAATTCCAGGAGCAAAATGACCAACTCCAGAGGAGGAATCGCTCCTGCTCTGCCAGCTTTGAGGGAGGCTGCACAGCTGGTAAACCTCCTGCAAGACTGAAGAATGTTCCTATTTGCAGGAGCAGAAATTACTTTTGCTTGGCTGGTTTTAATACCAAACTTGTTTAAGTTCTTTATTTTAATATTTGTTATTCAAACCTCGAAGATGAGGGCAGGTCAGAGACCAGCTGTGGGTCTGGAATGGTTTGATGCACTAATTCCTCATCAGTTGCTCAGTGTGATTCAAACACCCCAGGACCTGGCTGCATTTTTGGTTCTTGCTAGTGGTCTTGTTTGAGAATACAGACAGATGAAATACCCACCAGCAGCAAACACCCTCCCCCCCCCAGCTCTTGTGGGCACATGTGATAATTTGGCAGGTCAGAAGACAAAAGCCCCCAGTGCCCCTGTTTCTGGCTTATCCTCTCCTGCCCTTTAAACACAACATCTGACTTTCTCGTGCGGTCAATCCCCAGAGTACATATATATCAAAGATAATATAGTTAGAATGTCAGCTCCTTTTCAAGAGGCAATCAATTGCTCTCTCCATGCAAGATAAACGCTTCAGGATCTGGAGATGGGAAAGGTCAACACCTGACTCACGACAACACAAAGGTTTCTTGTAGCATAGTCAAGATTCTGCTTTTAAATAGTCTCCCTCTCAGCTGGAAAAGCAGCAAACCACATCCTTACCTCCCTCTCAGACCCAGTAGCAAACTCCTGCTCCCAAAAATTCAAGCTGGAGAAATCCTGCTCGGTGTTGCAGCTGGGATGGGTGAGGATGGGCAGGGCAGGTGCCCCAGTCCCAGGGATGCACTGAAGGGCACAATCTTTGTTCCTTTTATTTCCCTTTCCGCCCCAAGACCCAAACAAGCAGCATAAATCACTGTGGCAGTTCAACACAAGGCAAAGGCCAGTTTGGTGGATGCAAACACTCCTCTCTCCCTTTCTGATCCCATCCCTTGTTCCATCCACACAATCAGACCCCATTCATCTCCGTGCCTGGAGATGCAAACACGGGAAGCAGGTCAGCTGTACCTGCTGCATCCCTTAAATTAATCCACTGAGGGAACACTGTTCCCCAATCATTTAATCACAGTGCTGTCATACTGGGCTGGTAAGCATATTTTTCCTTCATTAGATTGAATGTATAATCTCATTACATAAATCTGACACGCTGACTAACTCATAAATCAGCCTGGGCTGCCGCTGGTCGTGCTGTGGGAAGCTCAGAGGGATCTTTGCTTTGAAGGGATGTACTTGGTTGTTGCAAGAGGGATCATCTGAGAACCTGAGTGCCGCTAATACCCATTTTCTGTGTTATTCTTTCCCTTTATGTGGCTGCACAAACCTTTCCACCAGCAACATCCTCACTGGTGGCAGCTCCAGGGCACGGCTCAGCCTCTGAGCTCTGCCCACCCTGCAGTGTTTGTGTGCTCTGAAACCCCAACCAAACCCTCCTATGGATGGAAAACCCAGGGAGGGGAACACAGGCTGAGATGGGAGAGGGGGGGTGAGTCAAAATGAAATGAGAATGTGCTTTTGAATCAGTGTAATGGGAGAGGTGACAGCCTGGACGTGGGTATCAATTTATAGTGGGAAAGGTGGGCAAGGAGCTGACTCAGATGGGCTATTTTAAATCCCTGCAACGAAGATCCACTGCTAAATATGCCACTGCTAATGGTACATTGTCTGATTGTTAAAGATATCATCAGATCTCAAAAAGGTTTATCCTTATTCCTATTTTTGGAGTGATTTCTCTTAAAGCTGTTTGCACTGATGCTCCTCTCCAAACTGCTCACTCAAAACCTACATCACAGTGAAGTTTCCAAATCCTTGTAGGACTCTCTCACACAATTATCTGCATAATTATAAACATAATGATAAAGTCTTATAACTTATCCTTTCATGTTCAAGCATTCAAAATTAAGCACATTTCTGAAAACAGGACCAGAAAAATATACACCACTGCAAAGCAGCACATCAAACCCAGAAAAGCCCCAAAGCACATGTCTGTATAAAAAGGAATTATCTATTCAGGGGAACTACAAAGTTATCTCCCTTCTTTTTTCCTTTTCATTTTTAGCAATCTAATTCAGAAGTGCTTTGCTCCAGCGTTTCTACTGCATGACCTCGGTACCTCCTGGCTGTATTGATTTATTCAGAACAACCCAAACCTCAGAAGGAAAACAAACATTTTTGCTGCTGGGAGAAAACACCGTGCACGGTTCCCTTGTGTGCCTGGAAGCCAGCACGTGCCCTGGCCGTGGAGAGAGCATCCAAGGGGTGCTGCCC